GTAATCTAAATAAAAAAACTGTCGGCACTGGAGTGATGTGAACCAGCAATCACCAGATTCAAAGAAGGTCACACTCAATATCCTAAATAAATGGACACGAATATTGGACGGTGCTATAATTGGCCCCTCGTTTATACTAAGTAATTCAAGTGGCGGTATTTATCTCGATATGCTAAAAAACACCATCGAACCTTTAATTGTGCATGAATTAGAAAACCAAAGGGACGATTAAGGCAACCTAGCTCTAGACGAAGATTACTTACACTTACAATAAGATGGAGCACATCCTTACTACGCAGCTCCAGTTAGGCACTAGTTGGATACTAATTATCCGAATAAATGGATTGGAAGGAGAGGTCCTACTGAGTGGCCACCGAGATTACCAGACTTACCTGACTTTTTTCTATGGGGTTACCTCAAATCAGTTGTTTATAAAACTCAACCTGCGTCACTTGAGGAATTGCGAGAAAGAATTACGCAAGCATGTCGCCCTATTACTACAAAAACATTTGCCTAAAGTTCGTGCACAATTTGAAAATATACTGTATTATTGTTTACAAAACAACGCAACCCAATTTGAACACTTACTTAATTGACATTTTTAACAAATTTGTAGTTCAAGAAAAACTTCATTCAATTCTCCAGTTCAGTCAAAGTTTCACAATTATTGCTTCACCCTTTATAATTATTATTTATACCATTGGATAGCATTTTTTATAGTATTTTCAATTATGTATTATATGTAGGGGTTTGCAATTTAAACTTTTTTGGTTGTGATGGGTGGGGACTAGGGGGTTGATGAACATGAGTTCTCTTTCATGTCATTTTAGTTCCCCCTTACTATACTAGAAACGGTTTTACGCTTTTTTCGGTATCAGCTTTTGTTCGTGAGATATAGCACATTGTAAGTTTTAAAATTGATTGACTGTATTTCTTTTTATTTCATTTTTTGGTTATTGATTATGTAAATGCGGTCATTGCGGTTTTTTTTAACTGGCTCTTGTTTTTCAATATCTCTGTTTTTTCTATCATTGTTTTTTCTACAATGCAGATAATCTTGCCAATCTTTGTGGATTTCCTTAATTTCTCTTTTACGAGTAGTTTTGTGAATATTAAAGCTTCCATTTATTAAAAAATTTATTTAAAATCCTTTATAAAAGGTATATAATAAAATGCCCAAACGGGCTATCACAAAGATATTGCAAAACGTTTTCGGATTATTAAATCCATCATCAGTGCAAACGAGGTATACATGCTATGAGCCACCAAAATATATGGGTCCAAACCCTTTAAATGATATAAATTTACATTTGCTTTACATTATATTATTATGTGGTTACAAATTACGATGTTTACGTTACCGATGGAATTGGTAACATGGCGACGTATCATTTTGGTGGCTCATAGCATGTATACCTCGTTTGCACAGATGATGGATTTAATAATCCGAAAACGTTTTGCAATATATTTGTGATAGTCCGTTTGGGTATTTTATTATATACCTTTTACAAAGGATTTTAAATAAATTTTCTGTGATATATGGTATACAGCCAGCTACAGGAACTTAGTTTCCTAGTGGAATCTTCTATTTATTCTCTTATGATTCTATCATTTTTTTGTCCATTTTTATTTCCGATATTATCAGATTTTTCATCTTAGTGCATTTCTTTATGCATTCTATTCCTTCCCGTAGATGCTTTACTTCTCTTTCCAAGTACAGATTATCTTGCTTCATTTCTGTAATTTCTAAAATTGTTGTATTGTTTTTATTCTTTTCCTACTCGTATCTATTTACTTTTTGAACCAGAGTTATTTTTCAATCATTTGAGATGTTGTTTTTATTAATTAATACGGCATTTTTTGAAAATAATGTTAATTTTTCGATTAGCATATCTAAACTAATATGTTACTATGCTTTATATATATGCATAAATGTCTCACTGCTCTAATTTTCTCATACATTTGATAGTTTTGTTAGCATCCATTTCTATATTTTTAGCACCAAAAGCACTTATTGCTATTTATCAAATTTTGCAGGTTTTTCACCTTAGGATCCTCCTGTTTCTTCCTATATTTTGTCTAATTCCGAATATTTTGTTTCCCATATAATACTTTTCGTCTCACTTCTCTGTTTAGTCAGGTATATATTTTCATGTCTTCTCCGAATGCAATTGAAACATTATTTGTTTTGCATTTTCATTCCAATAAATTTTTTGTTGCATTGAGGATAGCTCTCTTTATCTCACCATATAAAATGTCCTTATCCACATCTGTTGTTTACTTTTGTAGCCAATTTTAGTTTTTCTTATTTTTTAAGCCCTTCTCTCTATTCGGATTACTGAATATAGGCCTCTCCTAATTCTCGCCATTCATCTCTGTTGTTTTTAAGACATTTCCACATTGGTCCTGCAGTTCTTTTAATATCGTCGCTTTAGCACATTTGCGGCCTTCCTCGTGGTCTTTTGGCTTCATATGGCCGCCAATTCCCGATTTCTTTATTCCATCAGCCATCCTTAAGACTTTAGTTATGTCCAGCCAATTTCCATTCCAGTTTAGCTGCCTGTTTGACAGCATCTTTTACTTTTGTTCTATTACGAATGTCTTCATTGGTTTTATGGTCTTTGAATGAGACACTTAAAAAATATGGCCAGAAAACTACAAGAAGAATACAAAAAGTGGGGTTTAGAACTCAATACACAAAAAACAAAATATCTCCCAATAGGCGCAGAACTATCCAACATTCAGATGGACACAACCGAAATTGCGTTCTGCTCTGAATATACCTACCTAGGAATTGATTTCGACATCACAGGCACAGACAATAGGGAAATGAGAAAACAAATAAGCTAGGCCCGTAGAACAATTGGATGCCTTAACGGAGTTCTTTGGAACTCAGAAATTGGTAAAAGACAAAAATACAATATATAGATAGATAGATAGATAGAACGTTTATTGACCACTTTACATGAAGTTTGAAGTCCGTATAAAAAATACAATAAAAGATATAATAATTAAAACTTAAAATTAACTTAACCATATTGGCTAAAGTAATATACATATGTAAGTATTAGCAGAAGAATTAAAATTAAACTAAATTAAACCTAAACTGTCACATAAAAAATCTTTGAAATATGGAAGTAACAAAAATGTACAAATAATTAAGAATATTCCCGAATCGATAACTAAATAAACTAATACATAAAACTTAGTACATTTTAATAGCAATAATACAATGTGATATGTAGATAGTAAATCGACAGTATTCTGACCAAACTGGGTACACGTTATAAAGGTGTATTGAGGTATTCTGTCTTTGAGTAAAAACAATATGTTAAAAAATGCTTTCTGATCCTATTTTTAAACAGTGGTGGAGACAGAATTTTTATTTCGTTAGGCAGATAGTTATACAAGTGAATATCAATTGAATTCTTTGTGCTCTTTGATAATCTGAATCGTTGTGACCTAATTAAATCCCTCGATCTTGTTAGATGATCATGTAATTGGGAGTTTATAGTAAACTTATTTTTATTATCGTGAATTTCCAACAGTGTTGCATACATATAAAGCGAAGGTAGAGGCATAATACCCATGTTCAAAAATAATGGTTTACAATGATCCCTTAAATCCGCTCCAGCAAGTATCCTCACCACCTTCTTTTGTAATTTAAATATTCTGTCGGCATGACCAGAGTTGCCCCAAACAGCTATTCCATATTGTATACGACTATGAAACAATGAAAAGTAACACATTTTAAGGGTACTTTTAGGTACCAAATAAACCAGGTTACGCATTACAAATATTGTACTGGCGAGTTTAGAACTTAAGTTGTCTATATGGATGCCCCAATCTAAGTTGTCATCCATAAAAATCCCTAACAATTTGATGCTATATCCAAAAATGTGTCTTCGATCTGAACTGAAAATTATATTTTGATTTTTATCCTCGTTTAGTTTTAGTTTATTATGTGTAAACCAGTTTTTAATTTTAAGCACATCATTTCCTATTTTGTTATTTAAATTATATTGATTCTGGTCGGTACTAATAACGGTTGTATCATCTGCAAAACATATACACCTTAAGGGGTGGGTATAATGAAATATATCGTTGAGATATAGAAGAAAAAATGTAGGTCCTAATATAGACCCTTGGGGAACTCCATGTTCAACATTGTGAAAATTGGAGTAGTTATTATTTAAAAAAAACGGCCTGTTTTCTGTTTATTAAATACGATCGAAATAAATTAAGAGCATTTCCCCTTATGCCATATTTGTGCATTTTGTTTAAAAGTAAAGTGTGTGAGACACAATCAAAAGCCTTAGATAAGTCACACAATGTTAAGGACACGAAGTGACCTCTCTCTAGGCCATCAACTACTTCCCTTACAATTTCCTGAATTGCCTGAGTAGTGCTACATTTTTTTCTGAAACCATATTGATTACAATGAAGTATTTTGTACTTTTCTATGTACTCTATTAAACGGTTATTCAAAATACTTTCAAAAATTTTACCAAGAATGGGAATAATAGAAATAGGACGATAATTTTCAATTTCTTCTGAAGATCCTTTTTTGAGTAGCGGTAACACTTTTGTTACTTTTAATACATCGGGAAAGATTCCTTCGATAAGGCAAAGATTATAGAGTATGACCAGTTTATCAATAATAATATCCAGAGTTTCTATCACTAATTGTTTGTTTAAGAAGTAAAAATCAGTGCATTTTGAGTTTTTCAAGCTGTATAATGTATTCCTAACTTCAGTATCACTAACAGGTGTTAAAAACAACGAGTGGCAAGGGGAGTATATTCCCTCCAAAAAATTCATGGCATCATTTTCATCTGTCTCATCTAACGAGTTCAATATATATATATATATATATATATATTATATATATATATATATATATATATATATATATGAATCTCTCATAAAACAGCTTAACCTATGGTACAGAGACATGGAGACTAACAGAAAGCAATAAAAGAAAACTCGAAGTAACAGAAATGGATGTATTTAGACGATCACTTCGAATATCTGGAGCAGACAGAATTAGAAACGATGAAATAAGGAATCGGATGGGGGTAGATGGATTACTGGCAACAGACATAGAAAGGAAACAACTTATATGGAATGGCCATGTTCAAAGAATGCCAGAAACAAGACTACCAAAAATCGCCATGAAATGGATACCACCAAATCGTAAGAAACGAGGAAGACCAAAAAGAACATGGAAGGAGGGAATAACAAAGGCAATGAGCTCCCGAGACTTGACCGAAGAACAATGCAATGATAGAAATTCGTAGAAATTAGGCATCGGACAACGACGCAAGACGTTTTGAAACCGATATATATATATATATATATATATATATATATATATATATATATATATATATATATATATATATAGTGAGACACCCAGTTTTCTTATAGTTAATTGTTATTTAAAAAATTTGTTAAGTTTTTGTCGATATGGAATTAACTGGTGCAAATCAGATTCAGGTTCCCTATATACCATTACAAAATTAATTATAAGCTCCTTTTTTGTGTTTTTATTTACTTCATTTACTTATTTATTCACTTATTTCCTCTTACCTTTTTCTTTGTTTCAGTACTTACAACAACAGATTTTTTTGTCAGCCCCTTAAATACTCTTGGTCTATTTGTACCAATTTCTTGATAAAAAGAAACTATTTAAAAATTTCAACTTTGAATTAAAATATTTAATAAATTACACAAGATATGCTGTCAATCCTAAGTCAACAATTCATCAAATACCTTGGACATTGTCAAATAACTGAAGGATCGTTTGTTATACATATATGTCATTGATGCATTTTTATTAACTATTTACTTTTTATATTTTTATTGCAGAATCAATATTGTAATAAACGTTAAGAAAATAGGACACTAGTTGTGTATTCTCTGTATAATGTTTGCTTTTAAATAACTAGTCCAAATACAACACTTAATCGTTCGTAAAATATCGTCTCGTTACCTAAGCCTAGCTATTTAATCTCCTCATAACAAGCAGCTGTCACTTCTGTATTTTATGTTTTTAAATACCCTCCGGTAGTGGTAGATCCGTAAAGAATTTTATTTCGCAATTTCCACCAGCAATTTCACAGAACAAAAGAGTTAGTCTCCCTCCATTAGCTTGTGCCCTGGCAATGATATCTCTTGTTGAACGATAAATTGCAAAGCATTATTTTTTGTAGATGATTTGAAGATTTATTATGAAATCAACAGAATTAAATACTCTTAATCAACAAAACGATCTTTTACCATGTTAGATTAGTCGCAAGATAACAATATAGCTGTAAATATTAATAAATGCCAATATATAACTTTCACCAAAAACATGTTATATTTGCGTATTTTAGGGATTTAAGATTTGTAGAGAGAAAAAGGAATTGCCTTGTTAAACTTCGTTTACTTTATATTTCTTCTTAAATAAGGCGGCAAAGTATACTACCAGCAACACAATTTGGCTATAAACAAGGCTATGGTACGACTAATGCATCATTCGTCTGACTATAGATGTTCAAATTCGCTTTTCCAATTCCATGACAACAGGTACATTAATTTATCGACATAAAAAGAGCTTATGACAATATAGATTGGGTGCATTCTTATTGTTTAAATAAAAAATTACAATAGTGACTTTAATATTCTGAGTAATGAACTTGTATTTCTCGGAGTTCGAATATCCATGGCATATTTACTATTCAATATATAAAGACAGAAACGTATCGATTCGAATAGGTGATGATATCATAGGACCAATGACTACATCAAAAGACACTATACTGTGAACTATTTAAGTCCACTACTTTCTAATCTGTACACATATGATTTGCACAATTTATGGTCTCCCAACATTGTTTGTTTACACTAAGTTGATGATATTTCATCTATTCGCAGAAGGAAACGTACATCGAATGTAGTCATCATTATCATCATTGGTGCTCCATTCCTATAAAAGAGCCTCGACCTTCCGAAGTCTATTACGCCAGTCAGTTCTATTTACTGCCAACTGTTGCCAGTTTGCTGCGCCTATTTTTTTACCATCCCCATCTACACCATTCCTCCATCTGAGTTTTGGCCTACCCCTACTTCTACTTCCAACAGGTTGTGACATAAGAATTCTTCTAGGAAGGTTGTTCGCTGTGATCTTGCCAGATATCCTGCCCAAAATATTCTGTCCTGTCTTCCTATTTTTATAACAGATACTACGTCTTTACTACCAAATATATGTTTATATCTGTGATATATCTCGTAGTTGTACCTCTTCTCCAAACACTATTTTCACAGATGCCACCGAATATTCTTCTGAGAATCCTTCGTTCAAATATGAGCAGAAGGTTTTCACCTGCCTTGGAAATGTCCAGTCTCCAATCCATAATGTCAACACTGGTTGTATAAGGGTTTTGTATATGGTTAGTTTTGTTTTTGTGGCTTAAGTTTCTGCTTCTTATATGTCTACTCAATCCAAAATAGTATTTGTTTGCTAGGATTACTCTTCGCTTGATTTCTTCCTCATGACGAAAAGTAGACACGCTAGCGCATCTCCATGTCGCAGCCCAACATGCATTTAAAATGCCTGTGATTGCTCGCCCTGTATTTCGACTTAACTTTACGCATTGTAGCCTTGACCAATCTTATCAATTTATCGGGGATGTGGAATTCATCCATGGCTTCATACAATTTATTTTTTAGGACACCATCATAGGTCGATTTAAAATCTACGAAAAGATGGTATGTGTCGATATTGAATTCATTGGTTTTTTCAGTATTTACCTTAGCACGAAGATCTGGTCTGTCGTTGATCTACCAGGCCTAAAACTACTTTCATATTCGCCAAGAAGCTTCTCTGAATATGCACTCAGGCGACCATATAAAATACTCGAAAATATTTTGTATGCTGTATTAATGAGGGTTATTCCCCTATAGTTTCTACATTCCAATTGATCACCCTTTTTGTGTAGCGGACAAATGATCCCAATACACCACTCTTCCGGGATTTTTTCCTCATTTCAGGCTCTCAGTATGATTTTATACATTGATTAGTCGAGTAGCACCTCCACTTTATAAGTCCGCGATACCAATCATTCCTGAAGATTTACTATTTTTTAGTGTTTTATTGATCAGTAGTTCTTGAATTAATGAGGCTCCAATGGTGTATTGTTACTTGCTCCTGGGCGTGGTTGACTTCTATCTTCTACTTCGATAGTACGTAATTATTTATAGTGTTACACCCACCTTTTTAATACTTCTTCTTTTGTATTGAGTATATGCCCCTCCTTATCCTTACATAGTCCGATCCTTGGTTTAAATTTTTTCTTGCATTATTTAGATTTTTATAGAATTTTCTTGTTTGATCTTCCTTTTTTAATGCCTCAAGTTCTTCCAATATTCTATTTTCATAAGTTCGCTTTTTTCTCCGATGGATGTACTTTCTTTCTTCTGAGATCTTTATATTTTTGTTCTTTTTTCTCGGGTTCTTCTTTGCTGCATCAGTTTATATGCATTATTCTTTCTTCTTGTAATGTCCTCGCACTTAGCATTGAACCACTCATTGCGTGGTGGTGGTCTTTGCGGCCCTAGAATGTTATTTGCTGCGTCTTTAATATAATTTTTACACATTTCCCATTGTTCACTAATTGTTATATTCTCTTTAGTTATGTATTTAGTTTCGATATAGTTTTGAAACCTTTCTACCGTTTGCGGATTTTTGAGGAGTTCAATATTAAGGACCCTTGTTTTGGTACTTCTCTCCTTCTTCGCATTTGTGATTCTAGCGCGAATTCTTGTGCCAACTAAAAAATGATCTGAATGAATATTGTTATTTGTTATATTATATTGTTATATTATTTTAAAACTAAAACATATGATTTACAACTTTAATAGCTAAATTTTGTTAAATGGCTTTACTATTTCGTACTAAAACTGTACCGTAGTATTTTTTCTAGAAAGAATTTCTATTCTTTTATTCTCTAATATATATAATAGAAAAAATTCTATCGAATCACTGTATCTTTACAGGGCAATGCCATACTTGTTGTTTTGGAATTCAAATACCTTTGGTGTAATCTTGCTAAAACTACTAAAACTGCTTTGAACTCAATGTATTAACTACTCAATTAGTCTTTGCTAAAAATGTATTAATTTACTTAAATGTTTTGTAAGAGACTGTGGGGTGCAGATCAAAATATTGCAATCTATTTTTATCGAGCCTATGAGCTTTATAGATTACGGCTGTTTTTTATATGGGTTAGCTAGCATAACTTATTTACGCAACCTTAATAGAATTCAATTTAAAGCTTTGTAAATTGTGTTACGGTTGATGAAAAGCATTCCAAATGAAGCCACACTCGTTCTAGCCTCGAAAATCCACTCTCATTACACAGAAAATATTTGGTAAGCAAATACTTCCTAATTCAACATAGTCGCTGCAACTGTAATGCCGATATATTTAATCAAATGAATACAGCTGATTTAACAACTATATTCTTCTTAAAAAAGAATTCCCCACCACTTGCAAAAACATTAACTGAAGTTAATAAATTCTCCTAATAATTCTATTTGAGAATCATTGGACTTACTTAAACTGACAAGTGTTATATTTATATATATATATATATATTATATATATATATATATATATATATATATATATCGGAAAAAGGAGTACGACCGTCAATCCTATGTATATATATATATATATATATATATATATATATATAATATATATATATATATATATATATATATATATATATAAGGATCACTCAGACGAGTGGTGGGTTCTTATATCGGTCTCAAGGTGGAGAAATAAAAGACAAAGTTGATAGGCTACTTTATCTATTTTGAAGAAGTTTCGCTTTCGAGTTTTGAAAGCATCATCAGTTCATCTAAAAACTACAGTATGAGAACCACACAATCATGGAAACGATGTTAATTGTTACCTTAAAAAGACATGTAGCAGTCAAAGTTATTTACAATAATGTGAATGAAACTTAAGTAAATGGACATAATACGCCGATATTGTATAAACAATCAAGTAACTAACAACATACAGGAACTTATAAAAAATTAGCACAGCAAATGACCATGTGGTCTAAAGTAAATGAAATGTTATTTAATATTAATTAGTGAAAAATAACCAAGAAAATCATAGACAACTTCCAACTATTTAATGATTATTAAGCTTTGATTTTAACTTTAGGTAGCATTAAAAGTGATATTAATAAAAAAATTTTAATTTAAAAAAGTAATGTAAATGAAGTTACCGATCAAAGCCCTACAGCTGTCGTCGAAAAAATGGCGTTAGATGAACCAGAACGAACTAAACCGCAAAAAGACAGCCAACCTTGAGGTCAAAATACTTTTGACAGATCAGCAAAGTGAAGGTACCAACCCAAATAATTGGGCGGTCAATTTAAAAGTTTTAATTAGTTTGGATGGCTACCCGGTTGC